CCCCCAGCCCCGCCCAGGAGGAGCAGTCCGCCCGCCGCGCGCCGACCCCGGGGCGCACCCCCCGCGCGGCCTGTGCGCCCTCGGGCCGGGAGCCCCCGGGAACCCGCTGCCGCGGCGGAGGGTCGGGAAGGCCCCGGGAGGCTGGAAGGGACCGCGGAGCCGGACCCGCAGGGCCGCAGGGCCAGGCCTGGAGCCGAGCGAACCGGCAGGTGCGGCCGGGAGGCTCTTGGCGAGGCGGCCCGCCGCGGGGTCCCGGGCAGAGCGCCCGCCGGGGCTGGGGCCGGGGGTCGTCCCTGCTTCAAGGACCGGGTTTGTAACGTGGGAATCTGGACACGGGACGCTGGTGACGGCCTCCCCGCTCTTCCCTCCGGCCGCCCGCACCGGGAACGCCACTGCTTCCCAGGGCTGCGCGGCGGAGCATCTCTCCAAGAGAATCAAAGGCAGGAAAGGGCGCCGGGATCAGAGCTGAACCGCCTCCGGGGAGCAGAGGGAGGCGCGGAAAGTGACGCCGCGCAGGGTGTTAGGGACCAGGACCCGGGTCCCCAGATCCCCCCTGGAGGTGCGGCAAGGTGGAGCCACTGCGGACACTTCCTTCCCATCCTTCCTTCTTGCTCGTCACCTTCACTCCCGCCCCCACCCCTGCCTCCCTTCCCCACCTGTCCTCCGAACGCCGCCGCGTCTGACAGGTCGCTACCAGCAATACCGGTTGCCCCAGTTGCGGCCCGGGTCCGCACCTGTCCAGATAAGGCCATCCAGGGGCCTCCTGAAGGGGTGGGTGAATGACCTAACGAACATCATCGGGCTTAAGCCTTCCATGAATTCTGCCTTTTCCCCCTCAGTGCGAAGCCCCTGGGCACAGCAGCCCCTCTTGCCAGCCCATTACCTTACCCTTCTCAATCTTGCCAAACCCCCGGGAGTGGATCCTACACACTGAAACTCCAGTCAGATTCCACACCCTGAGCCCAGGCCGGACTGACACCCCCGGGGAAGGAGACTCAGATAAGTACAAGCCCAGTATCTGCACCATCAGTCGGGAGCCTCCCGGGCCCGCCAGCGGGCGGGGCGCCGCTGGACTCGTTGGGATGTGGTCTGGAGGGCAGAGATAGGGGCTTTACAGTTTAGCTTCTGCTGTTAACTGCTCCTGTTTTTTCCCTCTTTTAAAGCCCCCCCCCTTTTTTTTTATCCTCAGGACTTTAAAGCCCTTTGTCTTTACTCCAAGAGAAGTTTTGGGTTGTCTTCTAAAGTTGGAGAATAGGATCATGCAGCCACAAAATAAGAGGGATCCGAAGGAGGGAGCTGGCCCACTGACCCGTGGCCAGGGCTTACTGGAGATGAATTTTGTTGATAAGCTCCTCAAGCAAGGCAAAAAAGCTAATGACACTTCGCTCGTTTGCCACAGCGTCTCTCAGCAGCAAGGACCTCCAAGTGCATTAAATTAATTTCTACGTGCAGAAGAGAAGCGCTGTGCTGTTCCCAGCGTCCAAATGGCATAAAGGAGGTTCGGTCGCTTTAAAAAAAAAAAAAAAATCGCTTCTGGTTGACACTGGCTGAGAAGTATTTGTGGGAACAGTAGCTAAGTCCATGTACACCTCAAAACGTGACATGGACACTTCCCTGTTGTCATCAAGGAGAGCCCAGAAGCCCAAACTGAGAGAAGGAAAAGAAAAACAAACAGATAGGAGCCTGCAGCGAAGCACATAGGAAGATGGTCTGAAAATGAAAATGGGCAAGATCCGCGGCACGAAAGCCGGCGTGGTGTTTGAGCGTTGGCAGGGAAATCCTAGGCCCTTATTAATGGAAACAGTCAGGATATGTTAGTTAAGGCTCATGGGGAAAAAAAGGAATTGAAAATGAAAATGGAATAGAAGTCCTCAAAACATGTACAAAATGCAAAATGACAGTAATCTCCTGGCCTTGACATTCAAGATCATAAAGCACAGCTTAAATCACATCCCAACAGGCTACTCTTCCTTCCGAGGAATTGAGTGGCCAAAAATTAAAATTTCTTTCAAAAATATGTATTTCTTCCAGAACTCAGAAAACACAACTTCTCCATCAATGTAATCATAACTAAGCAAGCCGTGCAAATTTTAAATCAGTTTACAAAGACATAGATACCCTAAGAACCATTTTCTAGCTCATTTTCAAAGTTTTTAAGTTTGTGAATAGGTTAACTTTTTATAAATTCCAGGTAGAATAAAAAGTATATTCTAATTTTAAATGGATAAGTATTTATGGTTGAGAGGGAAAAGGGGTTTTATTTTTAGGTTGCTTTTTCACTTATCACCAGCATCCTGTTTCCTTGGCTGTGTCTGATGTGCTTACCGAGACAAATGCAGAATAAAGAATGGTCACCCCTGCACTGCCCTAAAGAAAAGCCATAGGGTTATCGTTGACTAGTACAGGAAGAGCTCAGATCTAGAACAGAGCTTTCTGATGGGTGTGAAGCTTTTTAGCCTAATTTAGGAGTTATAAAGCTACATTGCATTCAAACCCCTTTTTTGGTATTACAGACATATTTCAAGAACTGTTTGATGTTTCTATAACCTATAACTGACTGAACTTTTGAGAAATTTAAGTTGACACCTAATTTAAGTTATGGACATCTAACTGAAAAAATAAATATCCTCTCAGGTTTTCATTTTGTTTGGATATTTTAAATAGACTTGAGCTTGCAAAGGTTCTCATGAATAGTGACTCTCATTCCTCTCTCTCTCTCTCTCTCTCACACACACACACACAGACTCTGTAGTCTGTAGGTTCCAGTTGGAAAATTAAATGCAGAATTCAGAAGATCCCAAAAGAAATACGTTCCCATGGCAAATGCACAGAGACAGAAAACGTGTTAGTTATTGTCAGGGGCCAGGGCTGGGAGGAGGGAAGAGTGGGTAGCGGCTGCTTAATGTGTACGGGGTTTCCTTTTGGGCTGATGAAAATGTTCTGGAACAAGAAAATAGTACTGGTTGCACAACACTGTGAATGTAGTAAAAGTCACTGAAATATGTACTTTAAAATGGCTAAAATGGTGAAATGTATGTTATGTGAAGTTTACCTTAAAAAAAAAATCTATTCCTGTATGGGAAGTTTGCCATTTTTCAGCAACAGTGTTCACTGGTATAAATGTAGACCAAATGTTGTCTTAGGAGATCTTAGAAAGGATTTGGGAAGCGGAAGAGAGACATCCTGCCCGTCATACTCACTGGAAAATAAAACATGGAACTGAGTTCACTGGTTCGTTTTCTCCACGTGCAGCCAGAAAACACACACACATTTCATTCCATGAATGTTTCACTCATGCCACTTTGCTACAGTGTCACATACACACTCTTGTGTTCTAAAGTAACAGAAGACAGACACAATGTCGCCACCAAGTCCCTTCGCAGTCTCGAGACCTCTCGGCCTTACCTTGCCCAGGCCGCAGAAACAGGGCGGCGTTCTTGGCCTTCGGTCATTTTCGCTGGTCTTCTTGGCACCGTTTCAACAGCACTGTTGGCTGCAGGCCCCCCAGAAGCAGCACAGAGGGCCCCCCCGTGTCAGCGAAGGGCTCCTGCATCGCACCCTCGGGAGCCTCCGTCTTCCGCCTCGGACGCTCCGCACCGCGGCCTGTTTCTAGGCACCCCGAAGCCGATTCCCACTCTGCGGGCCACACACTTATGCCTGACGTTTGCCTTCTGGGCTCTTGATAAAAATGTCAGATTCCTCAATGTTCCCTTCGGGACATGGGTGACCTGTCCAGTGCACGAGTCCCTGTGTTCCCGCTCCCCGACCCCAACCTCCTAGTGACGTGGTCACTGTGTCTGCTCCTCCATGTTCGTTTTTAGAAACACGACTCCCACACGCGGACTTGTCCCTCGTGTCTATAAAGTGCCCAATGAACATGACAATTATGAGTATAGTATAGCAGAAAATAACTGTGTCTCACAGACATAAAATCCTGATTAGACAATACTCCTTGTCTTGGGTCCCTGAAATTGCTCCGTCTGTGGAATAAGAAAGATCCTGACACAATAAAGAAGAGCCACATCCTGTGTCCTGGACACAGCCTTCCTCTCTGATGCAGTTAGAAAACAGTGATTGGAGCGATTACTTCAATAGTTAAGGACAGTTAAAAATCCAGTAAGAAGGCCCTTCCCAAGGTTGTCTGTCAGGAAAACAATGTTTTACTGTGTTGTTATCTGCACTGAGCCATGGACATAACGAAGTCACCATATACTTGGAGCACAATTCCGTGGCAGATGTTCAACAGGGAGCTTGTCAGATACTATCTCGTTTCATCTTCATAACACCCCTATGAACTACTACTGTTATTATCCCTACAGTACATACAAAAAGACCGAACTCGGGATTTGCTAACTTCAAATTCGCTT